TTGGAAGCCTGCCAAGGTCCCCCCTGGAGGCCGAGGGCAGAAAGTGGAGCGGGCCTCCTAAAGGGGTTGGAAACAAGAGCTCTTCAGTCTGCTGCTGCCTCTCTCAGCGGACCTGTTTCTCTCCCTCTGCGCTGCAGCTGTCTTTGCTGCTTCCTTTGTCCCACTTTCACGTTCCTGGGAAGCAAGGGGATGTAGAAAAAACCTGGCTACAGGGGCCCATCATATGGTTGGAGGAAGTCCCTGGGCAGTTCAGAAAAGTTCAGGCACACCTGAAACATTTCAAAGCACTGCAGTGTCAGGAACTTTGAAACAATTGGTTCTTTCCTAAGAAGGGTAGAGTTGGCAGTTACATTATAAAAGGAATCGGCCTCCCCTTAATTCCAGGTGACTGATAAACAGGGACTGACAATAATTGGCCTTATGGAATGAATGATTTAGCAAAAATATATTGAGCTCCTGCTCTGACACATTTGTATGCTGCGTGGCTGTTCACCTTGTGCTTACACTTACTTCATGTAACAACCCTTTAGGTTTTTGGCTCTGATCACACATAAACCAAAACCCGAACCCACTGCCATGAATCAATTCTGACTCATAGTGACCCCAAGGATAGAGTAGAACTGCCCCATAGGGTTTCCAAGGCTGTAAATCTTTAGGGAAGCAGACTGCCTTTTCTTTCTCCTGCAAGCAGCTGGTGGGTTCCAACAGCCGACCTTTTGGTTGGCAGTCAAATGCCTTAACCATTGCACCACCAGAGCTTCTTTCAGATACTGTATGTACAGTATGTCATAAATGCTAAATTATGTGTTTTAAGGGGCATAAGTTGCCATTTCAAATATTTAGTCATTAGGAAATGTCGTTGGTTGCTGTTAACTCAATTCTGACTCACGGCAAATCCATAGTGAAACTATTCGCAGATATCCAAGCACCTCTTCTGAGGTCTGGGTAGGTTTGAACCACCAACCTCAGTTAGTAGTTCAAGGTTTCATCATCTGTGCCACCCACCAACTCCCATCAGGAATAAGATCCTTCAAATCTGGCAACTTGAAGTAAAGACAAATGTAATTCTATTCCTACTCCCAACAGGCTTAGGACACAATTAGTTTGATTTTCTTCTGCAAAACAGCACTTCATGAAAGAAACTTCCTAAAAATCAGAAGCTGTTGAAAGGCATTTTTCTTTACTTAATCTAGTTCTGTAGTTGACGTCAGCATTTGACCCGGAAGCTAGGGAGAGCTACAGTTGTAACTGGAACTAAAAACTTGGCAGCGATGGCTATATTGGTTACTAATTGAACGACCTTCAAGTAACCTAACCTCCGTGAAACTATTTTCTTATTTTCAAGCCCTGGACCACAAGTTGTTATGAGAAAATATAATAAAAATAAAGGGCTAGGTACACTGGAGGAGCTCTGGTGGCGTGGTGCCTAAGGCATTTGACTGCTAAGCAGAAGGCTGGCGGTTCAAACCCACCAGCCACTCCTCTAAAGGAAGATTGGGCAGCCTACTTCCTTAGTGATATTGCCTCGAAACCCATGGAGGGGCCGTTGTGAGTCCAATCCGACTCGACGGCAGTGAGTTTTTTTTTGTACAGTGGAGCATTATCAATCGCTAATGTGGGAGCCTGATATTGTTGAAGGGTAAAAAAACTTACTTTGGAGGAGACTAAGGAAAAAACGGCCAAAGGCCCCCAAAGGTGGCGCCCCTGCCGACCTGAGGTCTTTCACAGAGGAACTGAAAAACTCCTCCCTGTGGCAGACACACTCTCCTTTAATTGAAAAACAAGTGTTCGTTTTGGACGTGTCTTTTCCTGAACATTCCATTTCTTCAAAATGTGCTTCCCCACCCAGTCTGCAAACAACATGTCAGGTTTTCCTCACTAGCTCGGGGGCCGCCGCAAGCCCAGCGGGCGCCCAGGCGGTGCGGGGCCCAGGCGTGGGGTTGAGATGTTGGGGGCCCAGCTCGGGGCCTCACTCTGAGGCCCCACTCTGAGGCCCCAGCAACTACTACTGCTGGGCGCGTCTCCGCCCCAAGCAGCTCGCACCGCCCCCATCACTCACGTTTGCCCGACGTGGGCGTGGTTTCCGGCTGAGGAGGCGTGCCTTCCGGTCGTCCCACTGGCTGGCCTTTCTTCCTGGGCGGGACTTCCTAGCCATCATTATTAGGCGCCTGGCTGCAGAGCTGGTAGGTGGTCTGGACGGTAGGGTTAGTTTGGCTGGCGAGGTCTGACCTTCTAAAGAGGACTCGGAAGGACGCTCTTCCTCACTCCCTTTTTTCCTTCCCTCGATGTCTCAGTTTGCGCGGACGACCTGGGCTTTCGGTACTACCACCCACCTGAGGCCCTTCCGCTTCCTCTTTTCTCAGGCTCCGCCCCCAGCGTCCCGTGGCCATGACAACGGCCCCACGGGACTCCCTGGTGTGGCAGCTGGCTGGACTGCTGCGTCAGTCGGGTGAGTGGATTTCCGGTTGGGCTGGGGCGAGGTGGAGTGCTCCTACTTTCTGGAATCCTGCCCCCATAAAAGTCACGGAGTTACAGGTGTTTAGGGTTACGGGGGTCTAGGTATCAGAGTTCTTTTATTTCTTTGCTTCTGCCTGGCATGTTCGCTCTGGTCCAGGTGCCGACAGTGCCCTTTGTCTTTGACAATCTAAAACCATAACAGTCCTTCGAGGCCAAGCTCAGGAGTACCACTTCCTCTGTGCGTTTTCTGATACCTTCAAAGGGATCTACCCCTCTGAGACGGGGACTGCTCACGATTACTCTTGTGTAGCAAGTTATTAAGTAACAGCATAGTTGAAAACATTTCATTTGGAGTCAGACCCATCTGGGTTGGAAATCCGTACCCTTTCAAACTTGGCCAAGTTGTTTAAGTTTTGGAGCCTCATTTTTCCCAACCAACTAAATAGCATAATGATTTTATTTCCTATGGAAGTTGTTGTGGGAATGAATTTTAATTCTCATAAAGCATTTAGTGCAATGTTTGCACATATAGTAAGTGCTTGAAAATTGGTAACTATTGTTACAATCTCTAGCCTCAGTGCCTAGGCACAATGGGGCCCCAGTAGTTGGTTAATATGATTAATAGGACTTTGAGTTCAGACAGAAGTAGCAAGTGCCTACTAGCTATATATGATCTCAGTCAAGATTCTTAACTTATTTGAGCCTCAATTTTCATCTTTCAGATGGAGTTCATAGTGCTTCTCTTTCAGAGTTTCTGATGAGGTTTAAATGAGGAAACACGTCAAGTTGCCTGGCATATATTACTCAGTTAACGTTAGCTGCCTTCCACCACTGTGCACATTGGTGATATCTGCAGAATCCCTGCTTACAGTTCTCTTGCTTTCTGGGTCATGTTATTTAACAGTACATATCTTATCTCCTCTTTTAGATGGAAGAGCCCTTGATCCATTTCTTTATCTGCGATACCCTAGTGCCTCCGAAAAAAAAAAAAAGCCAAACTCATTGCCATCATGATTCTGACTCATAGTGACCCCCATTGGGTTTCCAAGGCTGTAGATCTTTACAGAAGTAGATTGCCCATCTTCTTTCTATGGAGCAGCTGGTGGGTTTGAACCACCAACCTTTTGGTTAGCAGTCACATGCCTTAGGCACTGTGCCACCAGAAAACCTTACCCTAGTGCCTAGCGTGTAGACAATCTTTCATGCAAGGTTGTAGGATTTGCTAATTTATTCAGCAAAAATCCGACATGGCTCTAGGGGCAAGGGATGGGGAGGGTGACTATACAGAGTGTGACTATACAGAGGTGGTAGGAGGGAGATTTTTCAGTATAGTTCTGTACCTTGATTGTGGTGGTGGTGCAGGAAGTTACGCATATTATAAAATGGCATAGATCTATATGCACAGGTATCAAAGTGAACTTCCTGCTTCTGATACTGTGTTCTACCAAAAAACTAAAAACCAAACTCACTGCCATTGAGTCAATTCCAACTCATAGCGACCCACTTTGGGTTTCTGAGGCAGTAAATCTTTGTGGAAGTAGATTGCCTAGTGTTTCTTCTACAGAGTGGCTGGTGAGTTTGAACCACCAACCTTCTGGATAGTAGTCAACTGCCTTAAGCACTGAAAAACCAAAACCAAACTCACTGCTGCCAAGTCAGATCTGACTCATAGTGACTCCTCCTTGGGTTTCTGAGATGGTATCACTATGGGGCTTGGAGGCTGCTTTTCACTTGGGTGTGGCTCTATATTAAGGCAGGGGCCTGAGGTAGGTAGGCTGGGGGCTTGGAGGCTGCTTTTTGCTTGGTTGTGGCTCTATATGAAGGCAGGGGCCTGAGGTAGGCAGGCCCAGGGCTTGGAGGCTGGTTTTCACTTGGGTGTGGTTCTTTATTAAGGACGGGGACTGAGGTAGGTAGGCCTGGGCTTGGAAGGTGCTTTTTGATTGAGTATGGCTCTGTATTAAGACTGGGGGCTGAGGTAGGCAGGTGAAGAAGGGTTGGGAACAACTAAGGGAGACGAACTTGTCTCTGAGTTTGTTGTCCTGTGGTGGCTTACATGTTGCTGTGAGGCTGGAGGCTATGCTACTGTGTTGCAAAATGCCAACTGGGTTACCTATGGAGGAGAGGTTTCAGCGGAGCTTTTGGGCTTAGGCAGATTCAGAAGGAGGAGGCCTTCCACTTCTCAAAGAATTGGCCAGTGAAAACCTTATGAATAGCAGTGAAATACTATCTGATACATTATGGGAAAAATTTATGAACAGCCCTGAAACATTGTCCAACATAGTGCTGGAAGATAAGCTTGTCAGATCGGAAGGCACTCACATTTGACTGGGGAAGAGCTGACTCCTCAGACTAGAGACAACCTTAACAATATGGGTAGAACAAAGGTTTCGGGACCTCCATTGGCTGATGTGGCACGACTCAAAATGAGCAGAAACAGATGCAAACATCCATTAATAATTGGGACATGGGATGTACGAAGATTGGAAGTTGTCAAAAATGAAATGGAATGCATAAAGATTGAGATCCTAGGCGTTAATGAGTTGAAATGGACTGGTTTTGGCCATTTTGAATCAGGCAACCATATGATCTACTTTGGTGGGGATGACAAATTGAAGAGGAATGGTGTTTCAAGATCTGTCCTGAAGTACAATGCTGTCAGTGATAGGATAATATCCACATGCCTACAAGGAAGACCAGTTAATACTACTATTATCCAAATTTACTCACCAACCACCAAAGCCAAAGATGAGAATATTGATGATTTCTACCAACTTCTGTAGTCTGAAAGTGATTGAACATGCAGTCAAGATGTGTTGATTATCACTGGTGACTGGAATGCAAAAGTTGGAAACAAAGAAGAGTCACCGGTAGTTGGAAAATATGGCCTTGAAGATAAAAATAATGTTGGAGATCGTGTGATAGAATTTTGCAAGACTAAAGACTTACTCATTGCCAATACCTTTTTTTTCCAACATCGTAAGCAATGACTATACACATGGACTTCACCAGATAGAATACATCAGAATCAGATTGACTACATCTGTGACAAGAGGCAATGGAGAAGTTCAGTATCTTCATCCAAAACAAGGCCAGAAGCTGATTGTGGAACAGATCATCAACTGCTCATATGCACATTGAAGTTGAAGACAATTAAAACAAGTCCACAAAAGCCAAAATATGACTTTTATGATATCCCTCCTGAGTGTAGAGACTATCTAAAGAATAGATTTGATGCATTGAACACCAATGACCAAAAACCAGAGCAATTGTGGGATGACATAAAGAACATCATCCATGAAGAAAGCAAAAGGTTATTAAAAAGACAAGAGAGGAAGAAAAGACCAAAATGGATGTCAGAAGTGACTCTGAAACTTGCCCTTGAGTGGAGAGCAGCTAAAGCAAATGGAAGAAATGACAAGACAAAAGAGCTGAATAGAAGATTTCAAAGAGCAGCTCAAGCAGACAAAGCCAATCACTGTAATGAAATGTGCAAAGACCTGGAGTTAGAAAACCAAGAGGGAAGAACACGCTCAGCGTTTCTCAAGCTGAAAGAACTGAGGAAAAAATTTAAGCCTCAAGTTGCAATATTGAAAATTTCTATGGGCAGAATACTGAATGATGCAGGAAACATCAAAAGAAGATGGAGGAATACACAAGAGTCACTGTACCAAAAAGAACTGGTTGATGTTCATCCATTTCAGGAGGTGGCTTATGATCAAGAACCAATGGTATTGAAGGAAGAAGTCAAAGCTGCACTGAAGAACTGGCAAAGAACAAGGCTCCAGGAATTGACAAAATACCCATTGAGATGTTTCAACAAACAGATGCCCCACTGGAGGCACTCGCTCGGTTATGCCAAGAGATTTGGAAGACAACTACCTGGCCAACTGGCTGGAAGAGATCCATATTTGTACCCATTCCAAAGAAAGGTGATCCCACAGAGTGTGGAAATTATCAAACAATATCATTAATATCAACATGCAAGTAAAATCTCACTGAAGATAATTTAAAAATAGTTGCAGTAGTATATTGACAAGAGAGCATCCAGAAATGCAAGCTGGATTCAGAAGAGGATGTGGAATGAGGGATATCGTTGCTGATGTTGGATGGATCTTAGCTGAAAGCAAAGAATACCAGAAAGATGTTTACTTATGTTTTATTGACTATGCCAAAGCCTTCAATTGTGTGGATCATGACAAATTATGAATAACATTGAGAAGAATGGGGATTCCAGAACGCTTGATTATACTCGTGAGGAACCTGTACACAGATCAGGAGGCTGTCATTCAAACAGAACAAGGGGATACTGCATGGTTCAAAATCAAGAAGGGAGTGTGTCAAGATTGTACCCTTTCACCATACTTATTCAATTTGTATGCTGAGCAGATAATCCGAGAAGCTGGATTATATGAAGAAGAATGTAGGATTAGGATTGGAGGAAGACTCATTAACAACCTGCGATATGCAGATGACACAACTTTGCTTGCTGAAAATGAGGATAACTTAAGGAACTTACTGATGAAGATTAAAGACTACAATCTGCAGTATGAATTATACCCTAATATAAAGAAAACAAAAATCCTCACAACTGGTCCAATAAACAGCTTCACGGTGGATGGAGAAAAGACTGAAGTTGCGAAGGATTTCATATTACTTGCCTCTACAATCAACACCAATGGAAGCAGCAGTCAAGACATCGGATGACATATTGCATTGGGCAAATCTGTTACAAAGAATCTCTTTCAAGTGGTGAGGAGCAAGGATGTCTCCTTGAAGACTAAGGTGTGCCTAACCCAAGCCGTGGTATTTTGTCACCTCATATGGATGTAAGAGCTGGACAAAGAATAAGGAAGACTGAAGAAGAGTTGATGCTTTCGAGTTGTGGTATTGGAGAACAATGCTAAGAGTACCATGGTCTGCTAAAAGAACTAGCAAATCTGTCCTGGAAGAAGTACAGCCAGAATGCTCCTTAGAAGTGAGAATGGCCAGACTTCATCTCACCTCCTTTGGTCATGTTGTCAGAAGGAACCATTCCCTGGAGAAGGATATCATGCTGGTAAAGAGGAGGGTCAACGAAGAGGGGTGGGAGGGCCCTCAATGGGATGGATAGACACAGTGACTGTAGTGATGGGCTCAGGTACAGCAAAGATCACGAGGCTGGCATAGGACTGGGCAGTGTTTTGATCTGCTCTGCATAAGGTCACTGTGAGTCGGAGACGACGCAACAGCACCTAACAACAACATCAGTAACGGGAGTAGATTGCCCAACCTTTCTTCTGAGGAGTGGCTGGTGGATTTGACCTGCCAGCCTTCTGCTTAGCAGTCAGATGCCTTAGGCACTATGCCACCTAGGCCACCAAAAGAAATAAAGATAAAACACCTAGTCAACTTTTGTGTAAAGTAAGTGATTACAATCTAAAGATTCAGCATTGTTGGCTATTGAGAAGGCTTCCTAGAGGAGCTAGGTCTTGAGCTGCTCAGAGTGGAAGGAGACATATCAGATAATGGGGAGGCTGTGGACCGAGCTGACTGTATTTCCAGCATTGTGAGTAGCCCAGGTTGTCTTGAGCAGAAAGTTTATGTCGAGGAGAAGATGGAAGGAAGTTTCAAAGAGGCGGTTGGAAGCAGTTTCATGTATCAGGCTGAAGAACTAGGATTTTATTTTGAAGATGAGAAGAACCATCATAGGTTTTTGAGCAGGGGAGGCTTGGGAAGGTTGATCATTCAGTGGACGACGCACAGTATGGACTGGAGTAGACACATCTTGGGCTCACAAAGTCTAGAGTTAATGTGAAGATCAGCTGACAGGCTGGGATGAGGTCCCTGGCCATCTTATGATCAAGATGCAATTGTTGTTGTTATGTGCCATCGAGTTGGCCCTGACTCATAGTGACCCCTCCTTGGGTTTCCAAGGCAGTATCACTACGGAAGTAGGATTGCCCAACCTTCCTTCCGAGGAGTGGCTGGTGGGTTTGAACCGCCAGCCTTCTGGTTAGCAGTCAAGTGCTTTAGCCACTATGCTACCAGAGCTCCTTCCCAAGATGCAATATGCCTCCTCTTTCTCTGTCTCCCCCGCCCAGGGGACGTGGTCCTGTCTGGCTGTAGCACGCTGAGCCTGCTGACTGCCACCCTCCAGCAGCTGAACCACGTGTTTGAGCTGCACCTGGGGCCATGGAGTCCTGGCCAGATGGGCTTCGTGGCTCTGCCCTCCCACCCTGCCGACTCCCCAGTCATCCTCCAGCTTCAGTTCCTCTTCGACGTGCTGCAGAAAACACTTTCACTCAAGGTTCTGGGGCTGGGTGGGGGGCAGCATGCATAATGGTGGAGGCAGTGGAGGCAGGGGCTAGGGTAGGGGGATGGGTGCAAGAAGCCTGTGGGGCCAAGGTCTAGATGCTGCCAGAGCTCCAGGTGGTGCCTCTAAGGAAGGGATACTGAGGAGGGTGAGCTGTAGTGCCTCTGTGACCTGAGTGCCATTTCTTTCAGCTGGTCCATGTCCCTGGTCCTGGCCCCCCAGGGCCCATCAAGATTTTCCCCTTCAAGTCCCTTCGGCAGCTGGAGGTATGGGGGCTATAGGGTATGTTAGGGCTCAAAACCCAGCTTGAGGCAGCCATCTGGGGAGGAGGAAGGAGAGATGGCCTCATTCTGTGAGGAGGCCAAGCCTGAGTGTAGCTGGTACCCTGCAGTAATGTGATGTCCACTTTCCCATCTACCACCTTCCCGAACCGTAGCTGGGCTTTGTCATCTTCTCCCCCTTCCCACCCCCTGGAGGGGGGAAATGAGACCTGTCTTGTGTGACATTCTACCTTCTTCCCTCCCTTCGGTCCCTTGCCCCAGCTCCAGGGCGTCCCTCTCCACTGCCTGCGTGGCCTCCGTAGCATCTACTCCCAGTTAGAGAGCCTGATTTGCAGCAGGAGCATCCAGGCGTTAGAGGTAAGGAGGGTGCGGGTGGGCCCAGACGCCTTGTCCAGAGAGACCCACGGGAGGGACCAGTCTCTGATGTTCGTCCTCCTCCTCTGCAGCCTTTGCTGCCTCCTGCCTCCCTGCAGTGTCCTTGCTCCCTCACAGCATCCGGGGCCTACCCACCCTCATACTTTACCTTACTGTAGTAAATCTAGGGTCTTGACTTACTGCTTAGAACAGGGACCTGAGCTTTCTTTAAGTCTGTACCTCCAGACTGAGCCCAGTGCATGAAGAGTGAGTGAATGATTGGGTGACAGAGCTGGGCTGTGATGGAGGGAGGGGTGAGAGTGGAGGTGGTGAAGCGCCCCCAACCCCATCTGCCTGGCTCAGGAGCTCCTCTCGGCCTGTGGTGGTGACCTCTGCTCTGCCCTCCCCTGGCTGGCTCTGCTCTCTGCCAACTTCAGCTACAATTCCCTGACTTCCTTAGACAGCTCCCTGGTGAGTGCCACAGTGGGAAGGGGATGGTGAAGGGGTGTCTGTGGGCTGAGGAAGGGCTGGGACAGGCCTTTGGGAGCAGGCTGCCTGGCCTGGGAGAGCCTCTGCAGTGAGATCGCTTTGCCCCTCCTCCCTGTCTTTCTCAGCGTCTCCTGTCAGCTGTGCGCTTCTTGAACCTGAGCCACAATCGAGTCCAGGACTGCGAGGCCTTCCTGATGGTGAGTGTGCAGCCTGGCTGGGCCTGCGGACCTGGCCTTTGATGGCTTTAATCCTCTGTTTTGTGCCCAGTGTTTCTTCGCTAGGGTGGGGCCGCATTTGGGAGGTAATACTGTTTGGGGGCTCAGGCGCTAGTATAACACAAACCAGAGTTTAAATCTCAACTTGTAACACCTGTGTGACCTCACCTGTAAAGCAGGAGTCCCAGAAGTACCTGCTTATTCACCACTAGAGTGACTGGGAGGGAATGTAACGTGACGTTACTTATGTAATGACTTAGCCTGTACCTAACTCATAGAGTGGTCACTTGCTTCTGTGATGGTGATGAAGAACCCCCCCCCTTCCAGGACTTGTCTGAGCTCTCCCATCTGGACCTCTCCTATAACTACCTGCGTGTGGTGCCCAGAATGGGACCCTCAGGGCTTGCTCTGAGTACCCTGATACTGCGAGGCAATGAGCTCAGGAGTCTGCTTGGTGGGTAGGGGAGGTGGGAGTGGGGTGAGTGGAGGGATGGAGATGGGAGAGGTGTGGAAGGGAAGGGATGGAGGGAAGTGTGAGACTTGGGGTGTGGTTCAGGTGCCTCTTGTGCTTCTTTGGGCTCACGGGGAGGTAAGGTGCTTAGGTGTGACTCTGGGCCATGCTCTCTCCTACACCACACCCCACCATACCTGTTCACCCCTGGCATTCACTCATGCCTGCCCCCTTCCGTCCCACCCCACAGGCATGGAGCAGCTGAGGAACCTGCGGCACTTGGACGTGGCCTACAACCTGTTGGAAGGGCACAGGGAGCTGTCGCCACTCTGGCTGCTGGCTGAGCTCCGCAAGGTGAGATACGGTGCTTCAGGGACCTGGGCAGGTCAGAGACCTGGGCCCAGCTCTGCAACCCCTCCCTCCATGCTCATTTGGCCACGGGCCCTTCTTCATAAGGACAAGGCCCCAGGCCCACCTCACTCCCCTCTTCCTGCCCCTCAGCTCTACCTGGAGGGGAACCCTTTGTGGTTCCACCCTGCTCACCGAGTGGCCACTGCCCAGTACTTGTCACCCCGTGCCAGGGATGCTGCTTCTGGGGTTAGTGAGCTTTTTGTGTTCACTCTGATTCCCCTTTCCTGCCAGTCCCACCCCCACCCTGCACTCTGTTGCTTCTGCCCTACTGCATCCTTGGGTGATGGTGCCGAGGACCCACATCCCTGCTTATTGCTCTTTGTGCCTGTGTAGCTTGGTGACTGTAGAGGACGTGGAGGGTTCCCACCCCACCTGGGAACTCACCCAGGGGCCCGCTTTTACCATAACACTCTCCCTCTGTCCTTTTATCTTTGCCCAGTTCCTTCTTGATGGTGAAGTCTTGTCACTTACTGATTTTCAGGTCAGTGTGGAGCAGCTGGCGGGGGTGGGCAAGCAAGGATTGTTCTGGAAGGATGTGAATGAAATGGAGGGCTGTTGGGGCCAGCTTGGGCTAGGCAGAGGCCCTCCTCTGCTCCAGTCTCTTCTTCTGTTGTCACACGCCAGACCTCCACCTCCTCAGGGCTTGGCCCTGCGACCCCACCTGTGTCCTGGCCAGTCGGGAGTACCACTGAGACCTCAGGCGGCGCCGACTTGAGTGACAGCCCTTCCTCTGGGGGCGTTGTGGCCCGGCCCCCACTTCGGAAGGTTAAGGTGAGTGGTGTCCCAGGCTGCCTGTACTCGGGGTTAGGTCTTTTTACAGGGGGTCTGGGTGGCTGATGGACTAGGAATAGTAAGGGCTTATCCTAGCTTGTCGGATGGGTGTTAAGGTGGGTTGGATATATGGCTATGGATGGCAGGACCGTGGGCCCTGGCTTTCGTAGACCTTCTTTCCTCTCCCCAACTTCAGAGCCGAGTCCGTGTGAGGCGGGCTAGCATCTCTGAACCCAGTGATACTGACCCAGAGCCCCGGACTCTGGACCCCTCCCCAGCTGGTGAGTCACCCGGCACCTCACAAGCTCCCTCCCCCCAGCTAGTCCTTTAGTTACTGTGAATGGATGTGGAGGAAGAATTTATGGAGTGTTGTCAGAGTCTCTTAGTTTCTCCTTTTTCCTTTTTAAGGAAAGAAGCAGCAGCTACTCATGGGCAGCCTTTTACAAAATGTCTCTCAAGGGACAATTGATTTTGTGAGATGGCAGATTACATAATAAGAGGGTTTTGTGGCCAGATAAGTTTGGGAAGTGCAAGATGAAGCGAAGTTAGATGGGTTTCTGTGCTGCAGGACTTTCCAGGATCTTAGTCATGTGAAAGCTCCAAGAGTAACTGTGATGTGCATTTCTGAACTGCACGTGAGCAGTGTTCCATAGAACATGCTGTGGGACTTGCTGCTGGGAGAGCCTTCAGTCTCCCTCTGGACACCCCACCCCATGCTTCACCCCTTTACTTCACACTGAGAAGCACCCATGAGAAAGCCTGGGACCGTCTCAGGGTGCGTGTGGTGCGGTGTGGGCTTGCTAAGCTGTGTGTTCCCCACCCCCGTCCAGGCTGGTTTGTACAGCAGCATCGGGAGCTTGAGCTCATGAACAGCTTCCGGGAACAGTTTGGCTGTGACTGGTTGCAGTATAGGAGTCACTTGGAAACCTCTGAGAACCCCCTTCTGGCTACTTCCAAGACCTCTGACCTCAGCATACCATCCCTGGATACCCTGGGCCCAGAGCCTCTGCCCAGTCCTCCATCCCCAGAGAAGAGAGCCCACAGCCCTGAGGAGTCACCACCAGAGGAGGTCAGGGTGGAGCCGGAGCCCCAGGAGGAAGAGGAGATGGAGGTGCTGGAAGAACGGGGAGGACAGGAAGACCAGGGAGGAGAGGAAGACCAGGGGGAGGAAGAGGAGCGGGAGCAGGACCAAGTGGAAGGTGAGTGCTCCGTGTTGGAGCCACGAGGGGAGACGGGCCGAGGGAGGCTGAGAGCTGTTGGTGGGTCTTGGGAGGGTTAGAAGAGCCCAGGCTTGGCAGTAGGGGTTGATTCCTTTCGGACCGAGGCCCACCCACTGAAGGGCAGAGTTTCTGGGCACCTCTCCTTCCCGACAGGGCTCCTCTCTGGGTCTCTCTGCAGTGGAGCTGTGCCGCCCCATGTTGGTGTGTCCCCTGGAGGGACCCGAGGGCGTGCGGGGCAGGGAGCGCTTCCTCCGGGTCACCTCGGCCCACCTGTTTGAGGTGGAACTCCAGGCAGCTCGAACCCTGGAACGGCTGGAGCTTCAGAGTCTGGAGGCAGCTGAGCTCGAGCTTGAGACCCAAACCCGGAGAGAACCAGCGCCTGGCGTGAGTAGGGCTCGGGGAAGGTGCTGGGCTTCCTTCAGCAGCCAATTTCGGCAACACAGCCGTGTGTGCCAGACCCTAGGCTGGGTGCTTCCCACTGGGTCTCCATTGGTGCTTGGTGCTGGGGAGGGGAGCTGTGGGGGCTGAGGCTTGGCCTCCGTGCTTCCGGAGGCCTTGGTTAGGGTGGACCTTGTGTGCTGGAGCCTGCATGTTGGCACGAGCCTTTTCCTGGGCCCAGAGCTGCTGCTTCCTTCCCTGTTGCTGATGCCTCCAGCCTGCCCTCTGCCCGTGCAGGACTCACAGCTGCTCCCTGTCCTGGTTCTGCGCTTCTCCTACATCTGCCCTGACAGGCAGTTACGTCGCTACATGGTGCTGGAGCCTGACGCCCATGCAGCTGTCCAGGTGGGCCGGGGGGCTCAGGCAGCTTACAAGATGCCTAGGGAGTGGGTCCAGCCTGTGAGGGCCAGAATGCCCCTACTCATGCTGCCTGCTGGCTCCTCCCATTCCAGGAGCTGCTTGCTGTGTTGACCCCAGCCACCACCACAGCTTGGCATCAACTTGGGGAAGTGAGTGACCCTCGAGGGGGCAGACTCCAGTGTCTGCGTTGTGGCCATGAATTCAAGCCAGAGGAGCCCAGGCTGGGACTGGACAGTGAGAATGGCTGGAGGCCTCTGTTCCAGAAGACTGGTATGAGCCAAGCCTTGACCTCCTGCCTGTCTTCTCTTGTCATTTCAGGGCAGTGGCTCTGAGGAGCACATGGGGAGGAGGAACGCTGGGGAGGATAGGATGCAGGCAGTGGGACACGTTCCTGCTTGAAGGCCAATCTAGGAAAAAGAAAAATGCCTGCCTGCTGCATTTACCAAAGAATGAAATTACACCCCTGGAGCTGGGCTCTCAGTTTTTTCGGGAAATGGAACCTTGCCATATTCTCCACCTGCCCCTGCCTCGGTGGCTGCAGGCCTCAGCAGACCTGGCAGCATGACGTGTGTGCTCCATGGGGTTACTATGGCCGCCCCTGGGGTCCCTTCTGTGGTGGCATAAATAACATTACTGTGTGCCACCCTGTCTTTTCATTTGAGCCTGATTTCTCATCTGAACAACAAGAGAATGAATTTACCTTGTGATGATCTTATAGGATTTTAAGGCAACTGGTGGTGGCCCAAATTGGAGCGCTGGTGGTGAAAGTGGTTAAAGCCCTTGGTTGCTAACCAAAAGGTCGGTTCAAACCCACTAGTACTCTGTAGGAGAAAGGTGTGGCAGTCTTCTTTAAAGATTACAGCCTTGGACACCCTATAGGGCACTTCTCCTCTGTCCTGTATGGTCACTGTTGTTGTTACGTCCCGTCGAGTCATACCTGACTCATAGCGACCCCTCCTTCGGTTTCCGAGGCAGTATCACTACGGAAGTAGGATTGCCCAACCTTCCTTCCAAGGAGTGGCTGGTATGGTCACTATGAGTCAGAATTGACTTGACGGCAAACAGCAACGGGACTGGTAGAAGCTAGCACGTGCCTAACACATTGTGGGTGCTCACAGACTGTTTCTTCTCTCACTGCTGATCCATGTCCTGCACTCTTTACCTGGTCACGTTCACTCCTATGACAATCTGTGACAGCAATACCATTATTGACGTTTCTTTACAGATGAGGGACCAGGTGCAAAGGGCTTGGGTGGCTGGCCTTAGATTATTCAGCTGTTAAGTGATGGACCCTGGGATGTAGAGCATCGCAGTACTGGGTTGGCTCAAGCCTGTGGGGGGACACAGTAGGGCCTGGTTGAATTTGGCCTTCTCTGAGGACATGATGTCAGCAAGTGGGTGTGGTTTGAGGAGACTGTGGGCCCTGGTTAGCTTTGCTCCTCCCTCCCCGGGGCATGGGTGAGGGCAGCAGCAGTGACTGGAGAGGAAGTTTGGTGGGTCAGGAAATGATGGGTCCTGTATGAAGCTGGAAACGTGGCCCAGGGAAGTCTGAGAGTGGGTGGGGCTCATCAGGAGCATGGTGGGGTTGCTGCTCAGTGTTTGGGGGTCATGGGGGCGACTCTCCTGCTGTGTGATTTTTTTCCTCCAGATTCTCCTGCTGTGTGTCCCAACTGTGGTAGTGATCACGTGGTTCTTCTGGCTCTGTCCCCCACTGGGGAGCGAAGACAGGGAGATAGGTCCCCAGCGCGCTCTCTGTCCCCCAGCCCTGTCTGTGACTCCCGTGGCCACAGTGACCCCAACAACAGAGTTGACAGCGACCCATCTCAGGCACTGGCCTCTCAAGACCACAGCACTTGGAGCCTTAGTCCCCGTGAGTATGGACACAACAAGACAGAGGTGGCATTTGGGGGCAGTGGAGCTGCAGCTGTGGACTGCCAGGGCTGACAGCCCACCACTGGCCCCCAGCCCCTGACCGCTGTGGCCTCCGTGCTGTGGACCACCGCCTCCGGCTCTTCTTGGACGTGGAGGTGTTTGCTGATGCCCAGGAGGAGTTCCAGTGCTGCCTCAAGGTCTGTGCTGCCCTGGCTCTGCCCCAGGCCCCTCCTGACCCATTGCCTGCCATCTTCCCCACAGCAAACTGAGCCGAGCACCCGCTCTGCAGCCACCAGGTCTGGTTTCACATTTCACCCAAGCAGTTACCTACTGTGTGGCTGTGGACACAGGCCTTGACGTTGGACTCAGTCTCTTGTCTACAGTGGAGATGATAATACCTGCCTCAGTACGTGTGGTGGGGATGAGAGGTCATGTCTGAAGCTGCCTAGCACAGCTCCTGGTCTTTAATAATGGGACCTTCTCTTGTGATCATAAATACACGGTGTTAACTGGACCCTCTTTGAGCATGTTATATGTGGGACATTAAGGATCTAGAGCAAATCAGTGCTGCCCTTGAGCGTCTACTGTGGCAGGAGAGACTGATAATGGTCATGGCGTCTGGCAGGGCTGAAATTGGCTCAGGTCTTAGAAGGGGCATTCTGACCCAAGCCGGCCAGAGAAGACCCCCTGGGGAGGTGTCATCTAAGCCACATCTTGATGCAGCTGGTAGCGTAGTGCCTAAGGCACTTGACTGCTAACCAGAAGGCTGGCAGTTCAAACCCACCAGCTGCTCCTTGGAAGGAAAGTTGGGCAATCTACTTCTGTAGTGATACCGCCTCAGAAACCCAAGGAGGGGTCGCTGTGAGTCAGGTCTGACTCGAGGGCACATGACAACAGGTAAAGGAGGCAGGGTGTGTGTGGAAGGAAGCAGGAGAAGGCATAGTTCTCTGTTGAAGTGCTGGTGCCTGGGGGAGCCAGAACATGGCACGGGGGCAGAGGGCCTGCGAGGAGTCTGAAGGGGCAGCAGGGACCACTTAGAGCAACCTCATGTGTCTGCCAAGGGTTTGGATTTTATCTTGAGGGCCATGGGGAGCCATGGAAGGATTTGAAGCAGGGAAGTGTTGATTGGTTTTGTGGTTAGACCAGCTGACCTGGCTGGGGCTGGGGCTGGGGAGGAGGGGCAAGAGAAGAAGCAGGGAGACCAGCTGAGAGGCTGGTGATGCATCCAGAGGAGGAGCCCGGGCCCAAGTGGAGGCAGGCCTGCGGGCGGAGAGTGGTGGCAGAGGTGAAGGCGTTGAGCTCAGGGCAAACTTGGCAGGATGCTGACGGGTTAGCAGTGGGGAGGCTGGGCCGAGCCCTGTCACAAGTAACTCAGCTCTCAGCTTGGTGCCTGCTTTCCTGGTTCTGTGTTCTTGTGACTTGTCAATTTCCTCTTCCCCTCAGGTGCCACTGATGTTGGCAGGCCACATGAAGGAGATTCTGTGTCTTGTGGTGGTGTCTGATCGCAGGCTTTATGTGTTGAAGGTGACCGGGGCGATCCGGTGAGTGGGCTGGGCTGTGGCCAGGAGGGTCAGGGCCCCTGCTCTCACATACCCTTACTCTTTTCTGTCACTCTGACCCTCACTCTCTCCCCAGAGGGCCTCCTGCTGGCTGGCTGCAGCTGGCCCTGGCCATCCCCTTGCAAGATCTGAATGGCTTAGAGCTGGGCCTGGCAGGACAGAGCCTGCGGCTGGTGTGGGCAGCTGGAGGGAGCAGCTGTGTCCTACTGCCCCGAGATGTCAAACGTTGCCGAGCCTTCCTAGGGGAGCTCACTGGTGAGACAGGAAGGGAGAGAAGGGCTGGGGGCAGTGGTGCCCAGGGCTGAGTGCTCATATCTGTGTCCAGCAGTGGAGACAGAGTCATGTTCCTTGGTGTTTCTGACCTCTGGAAATGCGAGGAGGGGGCAGGTGTCAGGGATGGAGAGGTTGGGATAAAGGCAGTCAGAGTCTTCCCTTTCCTTGCTGGCCTGCCCAGATGTCTTACAGTCTCTGCCCCCCACCTGGAGGAACTGTGTCAGTGCCACGGAGGAGGTGGTGACCCCACAGCACCGGCTCTGGTGAGTCAGTGGGAGGCTAGCGTGGTGTCTGGACACCCTGCCTGGGAATCCAGGCCCCACAGAGTCCCAGACGTGCTCCTGCACTGAGCAGCCCTAGGCCGGCCCTTGTCCTCATGCTCATACCTTCCCACAGGCCCTGGCATCTCCTCCTGGGCCCGGCCCTGGTGCTGCCAGCCTGTTCCTTCCCTTGCCTCACTTTGTATCCCCGGCTAACCATCCTTCCTTTGTCTGCCGGGTGCCCCCAGGCCGCTGTTGGACAAAGACTCTTCCTCGGAGGCTCCTCGGTTCTTCTACCTTCGGGTGTTCCTGGTAGAAGGTGAGGCTGGTGTGCTGCAGTGTTTGTGGGTGCTTCCAGGGACTGTGTCGCCCCTTGCCCCATTCCCTGTACCCCATCTTGTCCCAAGTCATTGGCCAGTCCCCAGCGGCTCCGCACTACTCTGGTGGCAGGTCTCAGTTCCCAGCCGTGGACTTCCTCTCACTTGAAGGCATACCTGAATGACAGCTCAGTGCTCCCTGCCTCTCCAGGCTTGGGGTCTGAACTGCCCAGATACCCTGGCTTCTCGGTGTCTGAAGTGGAGCAGATTGGCTGGCGCCACTCTGCCTCATGCTGCCAGAGAAGGCAGGATTGGGTCTGCCCTTTTGAGTAGGTTGGGCAGTGGGCAGGTCCCCTTTGTCTTGGACCTCACAGGTTTTGGAGGTTAGAGAGGTCTGGAGTTTGGGAAGGGTAGGCCATGGCCCCTCAGGGTATGGTTCTCTTCTCTCCTGACCAGTACTGCCACTAGCCAGGGACCTGGGCTCCTCTTGTGTTCTTCACGGCCTCACTCTCTCCCTCCAGGTCCTTTTCCATGCCCTGTGTCCTTGCTGCTGACTCTGTCCACTCTATACCTGCTAGATGATGACCCTGCAGGCACCCAGGCAGAGCCCCCGCCTCCTGCAGCATCTGGCGAGGCCTCTGAGAAGGCTGCTCCCTTGGTGCCGAGCCCTGCCGTGGGCGTCAGGGAGCAGCAGCCACTCAGCAGCCTGAGCTCGGTGCTGCTCTACCACACAGCCCCGGAGGACCTGCGGCTGGTCTTCTACGATGAGGTGTGTGGGAGGTGGGAGGTGGGAGATGGGACTTGTGGTGGAGGTGGTGGTCCGTGAGGGCAGTGTGGGAAATGGATCCAGGGAAGCTAGGAGTTGGAGGTATAGAAGTTAGAGATGGATAGTCGGGGTAGAAAGAACGCAGAAAGAACTAGAGTGGGGGGGAGTAGGCCACCTCGCTGGGTTTGGATGAGCAGCAAGTAGAATGGGAGGCAGTTGTGGGCAGTGGACAAAGCCTGGGTGGGACCAGCTATGTGGTATCAAAGTGGCCTTCAGAAAGTAGTTGGCCTCTGTGAGTTTTCATTTGAGCCCTTGCTCTGTGCCAGGTATTTGAGCTTTATAACCACATGAGGTCAGTACTGTTATTAGTCCCATTCTGCAGACAAGGAAACTGAGGCCTGGGGACGTAACCGGCTTTCCCAGGTCACACGTGGTAGAGCCAGGATTTGGGCCCATGCAGCTTGACTCTCGAGTTTATATTCTGTAAGACTGGGAAGATGGGAGAAATGACCGTAAACGTGAAAGCCCTCTGGAGGCTCAGACTCAGGATGCTTTGTGAGGAGAGAGACAAACTTGGGGAAGGGACAAGTGGATGACCAAGAGGGCCGGCGAGTTCCCCCGAGCCGTCCCCATTCCCACTCTGCTGTGGCCCTGCTGAGTCTCATCTCGCTTACCTGCCTGGCCTGCAGGTGTCTAGGCTGGAGAGCTTCTGGGCGCTCCGTGTTGTGTGTTCCGAGCAGCTGACAGCACTGCTGGCCTGGATCCGGGAGCCCTGGGAGGAGTTGTTTTCCATCGGACTCCGGATTGTGACCCAAGAGGCTCTTGACCCTGACTGGTGAGGCTTCCACCAGTGCTGTGGCCCTGGCCTTGGGCACTGACTGCCGTGGCTGCGGATATTCCTCTCCTGGGCTTGGGGTCTGGCTCCAGACTGGCCGTGGACTTTCTCCAGCCTTTGGGCCCAAAGTGACCCATGGCTCAAGGGAAGGGCAAGATTTCCCTTGCCCTGGCCTCTGGAAGCTCTGGCCCAAGGTGACAGGCTAAGTGGTCAGTTGGAATGTGCCCCCTGCACTTTTTCTCAGGTGTCAATAAAGTTGTTTGCATTCTAGCTGTCACGGGTGTCGGGTGTGCTTGGTCATGTCATTCGTGAGACTTGCTCTTCCCCCACTCTGGTCACTGCTGATTGAGTCAAGGCAGGACATCTGATCCCCGGGCAGGTGGTCCTCAGCTGAGCTGTGAGCAGGCATGGAAATGGTGGCCGGACGAGTGGGTTCTGACTCCCTCAAGTTTCATTTGGGCATTATGGACCTCTGGCAATGCTGCTGAGTCTGAGGTGTCTGGGAGAGGGTGTGAGGGGGAGTGGGTTGTGGGGGGGATGGTGGTCTTTGCTGGTTTCTGCTCTTGCCATCTCTGTCAGCACTGCCTCACTCTCAGCCGAGTGGTTTGGTGGGATTAACCCTTCCCCTCCCTCTGTCTCTCTGACCATGGTAATTGGTTCAAGAGGGCTCATATGTCCCAATTTGACCCACCAAGCTGTTGTCGTGGGCTTTCGTTGGTGCAACCAAGAAAGGGGTACTTTCTGTGTGTGAGGGAAGGACACAGGGAAGAGGTAACTGTGGGGAGGACATGGGAGGGGAGCTGTTGCATTGTGGGAAATTGCAGTCAGTGTCGTGAGACAAAGTGTATGCGAGCTGCTGTATGGAAAGTGAATTTGCTCTGTAAACTTTCACCCAAATCACAATAAAAATTGAAAAAAAAAAAAAAAAAGAAAGGGACACTTTATCCATGTGGCAATTATGAGAAGTTAAGCTAGGAGCTTCTGGCCGTGAGGAGAGTGCTTACCTGAAAGGGGAAGTATGCAGAGAGGAAGGCAGAGCCAGGAGAGGAAGAAGGCAGGCCAAGTCCTGGTGATGGCTTGGGACCCCTGCGGCCAGTTGGGCCTAAAGCCCGACACCCTGAGATACTATGTTCTGTGAACTAAAAGAATCCCACCGCCTCTTCTACCTGTTTTTCTTGGCTTAGCTGATTGGAACTGAATTGGCGTCACTGAAAGGTTTCTAACTAAACAGGCTCCCACTCTGACTTGCGTCGGCTTGAGTAGGGTTTGTTTCTTGCATCAAGAACGAATATAGGGACCAGGTTTGCTGGTCCAATAGAGCCTGGTGGAACCGCTGAGACTATGGCCCTAACTGCCCTTCAGGTCTGGAATTGAACGCACACCTGTGGTTTCCAGCCAAACAAAAGACAGGCATATGAGTTGAACATTTACCTCAAGTAGATACTCTCCTTGGAGAGAACAATCATGGGAGAAAGAAGGGCTGCTTGTGCACAGGGAGACAGCTCAGGGAGCAGGAGTGCATGGAGGGATGGACACAGGGAAGAGGTAACTATGGGGAAGAAGTGGGAGGGGAGCTGTTGCATTGTGGTAAACTGTGGTCAATGTCATGAGACAAAGTGTATGTGAAGTGCTGTATGGAAAGTGAATTTGCTGTGTAAATCTTCACCAAAATCACAAAAAAAAGGAAAAAAAAAAACCGAATATAGTGGTGGTCGTGACACCCACATGTTTGTGACACCACTGGTAAGAGAGCTTGAGGAAGGAATGTTGGGGACCCAAGTCAGGCTGCCTTCAAGGGGCCCCAAGGTGGAGACTGGGACAGAGTGTGTCTGATGGCTTCGGGCCCTGGTGGCGGCTGTCCTGGAGCGTTTCCATGCCAGGCGCTGACTGGGTGCCTGTGAGAGTGGCTGCTCCTTGCAGGTGGGGAAGCTGCTGAGATGAGTGACTTGCTCAAGATCACAGAGCCAGTAAATGGAAGAGACTTAACTGGAATCCAGGCCTTGTGACTTCACGCCCTGGGCTGTCTGTGAGCTACCGGGCCCTGCAGGCAGGTCTCACTGGAAGGAGAGTTGCTTCCGTGGGCGTGGGGACTGCTGAGTGTGATCCTGTACTTGTCCAGGATGGGCAGCCCAGACACACATTTCAGCTTCTCTTTCTCTCCAGAGTGGGGTAGGGTGTGAGATAAAGGATTTGGGGCCAGTCTTCAGCCCTTCCGGCTGACCTGGAGAACTGCCCCTGCTTTAGGGAGAGGCCGTGGCAGGGGACAAAGATGCTGAAGCACGAGGCCTAAGCTGTAAGAAGAATTAAAGGGGCGCTGAGTGCACTAAGAGACTGGAGAAGGGCACTGGACAGTGTGGGAGCGACTCTGAGGTTGAGGGGCTTCCGGGTGGAAGAGACCCAGGCTATGCTTTCTGTCTGGAACCACTGGGGACAGTGACCTGTCAGATGCTCCCCATGCCACAGGCAGATGGCAGGCCTTTGCATGGCATTTTGCAAGGACAGGCAGGACAGGGCTAGTGACAGTCCCGGCTTTCTCTTGATTGGAGGACGGAGGGGGCCCAGAGGTCCTGTGGGCCTCAGTGGGGCAGTCAGCTGAGAATGAGCTGCAGCACGTGCAGGGTCGTTGCAGGAGGACCAGCTGTGCCTGGGCCCGGAGGGGGTTGTGGCCAGATTGAACTTGAACTGTTTCGAGTTTAGACCAGGCCACTGGAGGGCTCACCTGAATGAGCTCTTCAGGCTCAGCTGTGAACTTGCTTGAACAATTTCTCTTAGAAAGATCAGCACGAGGCTGGTCCCCATGAGGC